TATCTTCTGTCACTGCCATATACTGTACTAGGTTTACTGCTTTGACATCTTCCGGATTATGCTCGGGGACCGGCAGATGAGCTCTTGACAGCGTATTCGCGATGAACATATGTGCACCAGGCATGTACACAATATTCATGTCCTACTTTTGAAGCCGGATAAGCGTACGCTGAAGACGACAAGGAACAATGTGCAGAGGTTTATTGGCTGTCGACACAAGTGGTTTGTGGTCGGTATACACAGTCGTCTTTCTTCCGGAAGTATAATTTTTGTAAAGCTCCATGACATAGACTACCGCAAGCATCTCCTTCTCAATCTGCGCATATCGTTGCTCGTTCACGGTAAGTGCTCGACTGCAGAAATCCAAAGGTTTTCCATTCTGTACGAAAACAACACCTGTGCCTCCATACGCTGCGCTGAATCCTAATACTCGAGTACAAGCGCGTTGTTGATAAGGCACTTAATAGTTACGAATGCGGTTTTTGGTTGGTTTCCCCAACTCCATTTTACTTTTTTGTGAGTTAGCTTCCTGATCGTCGTCATGATATCAACGAGAACATAAAACTGCCCAAATACCGTATAGTACCGAATATAAGCCCGTCCATAGATAGGCCGACTGTATAATCTCGCAACATCAACTTTGCCCAAAGTTGTAAGTCCCTGTATTAGCCGACCCCTAAAAAATCAGCAAAAGAGAAACGAACTTGTTTCTTCACGACCTTGACGTCGTCACTACTTGCTCTTATTTGAGTTTGTGCAGGTGACAGCCGCTCTACTATCGATCAGCTATGTTGATCGAAACGTGTTATAATCGCGGTTACTGGGACGTAGGGCCATCAGCACAGACTTTCACCGCACCGGACAGTGTGTTGACCAGATGTTAAGTCACATGAAACTGGCAAGACAGCTGACAATATAGAATAAGATGAGACAGTATCAGACAGACAGCCTCGCACAGTCGGCGGCCTCATGATTATGAACCACAATAGAGCTGTGGATAAGAGCGTTCACTGTCAGGGGTGTGGGACGACCTTGTACTTTTAAGGCACCGGATGGCCTGGCATAACATAATGTTTGAGGGCCTTTGATTCGCTACTGCCATCCGTCGCGCACGTCAACTGTGCAATATACCGAAATTTTTGGCACAAAAGTAACGTGTGCAATTATAGGCACTTCAACCCCCCGTCTGGAATACCGTCCGTCGCTAGCAGGTGTTGCTAAGGGGAGATAAGAGCAGTGGTGTGCAGTGAATTTCTGGGTGGATTTTGCATGTAACATTTTCAACTTCCGTATAGTCTTTTCTAAGCCGATCTCCCTCTACAGAAACGAAAACTCGTCCCGTTATCATCGGCTTATTTTCGGTAATATACGGTAATTCCCCATACCGTTTAAACGATGGATTCCCTTCACGTCGTTAAGGTGCGGCATCCCTCGAATCGCCTTAATTTTTCCTGAATCGACTCTGATCCATTGGGTTATTAACACATGCTCATGGAAAAACGCCTCGTCTTTCTGAAGCTCATTTTTCTCACCTTTAAGCTTGATGTTCTTTTGCACACAAGACTGTAAGCCGTAGATCAAAACATCCTCTGCCACATGTTACACCATCTAAATTGTCTACCGCTTGCACCAACCGTTTGTGAAATTCTTGCTTCTAATCTTCAAACCGAACGGTGTGGTCAAGCTAGTACGGAAACTGGGTTCTTCATCTAGAAGCACGTGCCAGATTGTGGAAGACAGGCCTACCTTCGTGAAACACTTAGCTTTGGCCAAGCGCGGCAAAATGTCTTCTAAGGTAGGTAACACATAATGCTCTCTATGCTGAACCTCATTCAAGTTTCGGGCCAATATACACGCGCAGTTCGTCCGTCTTTCTCGTAATGACTGCGACCTAACTAACCCAGTCGGTTGTCTCGTCAACTGGCAATCACGCCCTCTCTCCCTAATTTACTCAATTCAGCGGGGAACCTGTCATGTAGTGCAAATGGAACTATCCTAACCGGTAGCGCTGTCGGTCATATCCAAGGATCTAACGATAAGTGAGCAGTTCCCTCAAATTTTCCCCAACCAGGGCTAAAGACAGACGGATACTGATCACTAATATCGGTTTTACCTGGCAAGTAAGCCTGCACGAAACGATCATGATTAAAAACAACAAAACCGAGAGATTGGATCCAATCAATGCTGAGAATCGGCGTGAGCTCCTCTGCCACAATCACAAACTTCCGTCAATGTGGGGGTCTGTCTCTTGGGTCAAACACTTCGATTGTAGCTGCGCCCTTCGGATGAAGTCGGGAATCATTCCACATGCGCAGCTAATTTTGGTCGGATCGGATGCACACCAGAACACTGCTTCGGGTAAAATGTTGACAGTAGCACCCATGTTTAACTGGAATAGTACGGCTTTGCTTTCAATCAAAAGACTTGCGTAGACACTTTTTGCGATACTGGCACAGTCCCGCCAAACTCACCCGGAGTTCACCGGCGCCAGTACGTTATCGGGCCCGAACAACACGGTCGTTATGCAGAGACCCAAACTACTCAGTTCAGAGCGGAGCTGTCTCTACGGTAACTGCTGCCAAGGGCTCGCTCATCTACACAGATTACAACGGATTTCTCTTCAGTGAAAATACGATCTATGTGTCCTGCACAGTTTCCACTGAACTCACCCCAGTCTCACTATCGTATCTCCTGGACTCTCCTCAAGTCAACGATCTGCCTCCTGAGCCGTGTTCATGCCAATGCCTTAGCCACCGAGCACACTCAGCAACTGTGATGTGCCCAACGTCTCAACAGCATCGAACCCACCCCATCTCTGCCCGGAAATAGGACCACTACATGGCAACTCATGTGCCAACAAACATACGCCTTCTCTTATAGTTTATACACTTACTACTGTTTTAGTGAGCTATAAATACGAAGGTGTAGAATGCACGGTTGCCTTGGTTGAGTCAGTAAAAATACTCTTACTATTGGCCAATCTTCTACGGGTCTCAGTATAGTTGTGCGGCATTTACGCGTACTGTGTGCCTTATTAGTTACGAGTATACGTCTGCCGGTTAAGTCCACAAGGCGTTCCAATGCGAATCGGCTAGGCTACTCTGCACGTGGGAACCAACGGGTAAAAGGGTTCGTCCGTTCCGGCTAGGACAGACGAAACACAACAAGGGCTTTTATAACATATACCCTCGAAGACACGTTGCCAATTAAATGTTATGTGTCTATGGGTGACTTGTTCCGAACGGGTGCACTCACATTGGTTGCTTGGCAGCAACGAGCAAAGTGGTTCCTTTTTCCATATTTGGGGCATTTCCGTCCCAGCGCTGGACACTGTTCGCGGGTCCTCGGGTCTCCCGCAGCGCAAAATTTGCAGATCTCCTATCTGGTAGCCTTCATTGTTCTGCCTCCGGAAACGGCACACAGTTCTTAGTCAGTTTGGAGTTTCATTTGTTGTTAATGACAGGGGGTCGAGGACTCACTGTTGCAGATATCGATGCACTGCTGAAGCGATAAGTTGCACAAGCCAGGCTTATCGTACCTTCACCACTAATTCCCAGAACAATCCTATCGCATATGAGGCCGTTACCTATGTACTTACGTAGATTGAAGGACCGGATCAGAATCTTCAGCTCAGTGATGTACGCGTCGACGGATGCATTTTGGCCTCTGCTTCGCGAAAACCTAGCGCTGGTAGGTCTCCTTGGTTTGGCCTTCGCGAAATTCGCTGCATCTTTCAATGGCCGTCTCCAAATCATTGGGATCTTTGTCTTTCTCCTAGTGCAATGTCTACAGCACACGGCGCATGTCTTCCCCGGCTGCGTATCGAAACACGGCCAAGCAACACGCCATCAGTTGCTCGTCTAAACGTGCTAGGGTGCAGAAATCCATTCACTTGCTCCTCCATAGACGCCAATTACTTGGCAAGTTCCGTTCAGCCATGTTCAAAGGGGCAGGCATTTGAACAGCTGATGTTTATCCAGTCAGCATCCGGGTGCGACCGATGGAGTTCGTCTTGGTCTTCTCTGACACCATGTTGCAGAACAGTCCTACAGGGACAAGCGTTTATTCATCAAAATCAAGTCGACAGAAATTACAGCATGCTTGGCAAGCCAAGCGCTCACGTCCAAATCCAACGACCCTCCTGAATCGATGAGGTTCCCTTTTGACTCAGCTAAACAAACAACCTGTGTACAATAATCGAACCCGTTATGTCCGTCTCCCATTGGCTGTATGGCTCGCTCTGTCGGTCCATCTGTTCAGTGTGATTTGTCACTTCCACCACAGCCCGCAACCGGAATCAGCAGAAGAACTGTGTACGAAATCGTAGATATTCACGTTTTGATTACTTCAAACAAAACGATAAAAGAATCGCCGGGTGACAAACGGGCAAAAGTGTTTCGTTTTAATCTTGTTCAAATTGTACTTCCTTTTGATTCCCATGTTTTTTCGATGATCCTATCTCCATTTCTAGGACCTAACGCTCTCCTTCAGTTCAATTACAATTTTTTCATGCACTTATCCCTAAAAATAACATAAGGTGTGACCGAACCTCCTGCAGTGGCTGCTGTACTGCGCACCTTCGAGACACACAGTACTGTTGCAGTCCCGCGCTTACCTGCTACTGGTTCTTACAGTCGTCCACCAGTCCGGTCGATTTTATCACCACGCCTAGTGATTAAATGAACGAAGCAGTTACTTCGCGTGTTATCGATGCTTGTGTTACTGCCGCCGTTGTGTCGCACGATTGCCGATACATAGTAACGGAACGGATCATTATTCGTATCGGGTACATCAAACTGTGCATGGTTGTTTGTGTTGCTATGCGTTTCACACACATGATTGCGTAGATATCTTGCACGTATCACATCTTATTCTGAAGTGAGCGGTTCTATCTTTAACATATCGCGGCTTCTGTCTTCTCCTTGTGTTGGTTATACTACTCAGTTAATGTTACCCAGTTATCTTTCGTTCCAATGCTTCTGATTTCAATCCTATTGTAGGAGTTTCGACAACAGTTCGTCAAATTACTGGCAGAGGCTGAAGTTTTGGGACATCGCCTAGATGCAGTTCATCAGCGAAGAGTGTTGAAGTTGATGAAGACTCATGAAACGGAAGCTGCTTTAGCATGGAATACTGCTATCAACAGCTACCCTCCGAATGTAAGTTCCTTTGGTTTTGGCGACCAACGGCGCTCTGATTTGTGCGCTTCAACACGATTTTAAAGTGTTGTCGGTGTCTGTAGCTTGTTGTTGGGTGATGTGACAGACAATCTAGGCTGATTTACCTTTGGACAATGCCACCCCATTTGATAAAGTATTCAATTTCCCTCCTGCACAACGCTCTCTTTGTTCAGCGAAGATGTTACCCTCCATTTTACGAGAGAGGTTCAGTTTTGTTCACCTGAACATCTATGTTCCGGGAACCGAAGTGTGGTTAATCCAGTTCCCACGACGCGTTGTCAGAATAACAATAAATTACGACGGTGAGAAAATGAAGCTGAATGCCAATAGAGTGCAAAAATGAAACCAAGTATGAACTGCGTTGGGATTGAGTGCGAATTAATAGCTGAGTACAAGCAATCGAATAAAGGAACTCCACTGATTACACGACTACGTCATGCGTAGTAGAGTCTTCAACCACAGGTGTGGATCATCACGATGCCCCCATCCAAGAAGACGGCACACACCAACCTGACCAAGTCACTCGCTCAATTTCTTCATGTCTTTATCACAATAAATGGACTTGCCATGTACGGTTTCGCCAAACCTAGGCCAACGACAGCATACACCGCACGCCGAGGAAACCTGCCGACCGGCATGCGGAGGACATGGCTTAACCAACTTAATTGGTTATGCCTCAGAGAACCTTCGAGTTGGTTATCAAGTTGCCAAAAACAAGCCGGCAGATCTTAGTGTTTTCACCCGGTATTTGCACCAGATGTGAGCAGCACTCCACAAGCGCCGATGATCAAACATGGCCAAACTTCTAATGCACTCACTGCGAACTGCCCACCTCTCGATTCCATACAGTAACGCCGCTCTTATCGCAGTGTTACATACCCTAATTTCTGCAAACAGACTGATATCCCATAGATGGTTGTGCCATTGAAAAACCACTCTGGCGTTGCTGATAGGCGAAGTCACTTCCTCAATGTGACCAACAGAGGTGAACTGATCCACCATTTTCAGTTGCATTTCGCGGATAGCTAAAACTGGTGGTGTGCCGGTCCAGTCCCTCACGATACTTTTCACTTTGAAAGAGCAAAGCACATACCGTAGCGTGCAACGCTACGCGACAGTCTATTCGGTAATACTTGCGCAGTCACTGTGTCAGACCCAAGGAGAACTATGACGTCCAAAGATTTGAGGCTTGTCATTCCATCACAGCAGTATGTTCACTTCGGCAGAGTGTGAAAGAACCGAGACACTTATGATCATTTCGATCTCAAATTTGAAGAGGAGCACTGGCGAAACCTACTTACAGTGGGCAACTCAAGAGATAGATTCCCGTAGACACTTACTCGGCTTCGGGAGTCACAGTAGAGTGACTTCAGAATGGAGAGCTTTTCAGCTGCTTCCTTCACGGATATGCAGTGCCACAGGATGACTCTATCAACAGAGTTGAGAAGGTGAATTTTACATCAAAGAAAACCACCCTAGTCTTTAATCTGTAGGTACGCTTTCCTTGGTTAGCCGCCTGACTTAGTGACTATGCCTTGCTTTCCTTCCTGCCGTCGTAGGGCCTTGTGGTTTGAATTTAATCTAGTATATTATCCTTCTGTTAATGTTTCCTGTACTTCTTTTTTTATCACTAACACACTTGATTTGGACACTCAATTGGGCCGCGAATCAATTTACCACTTTCACTTCATGCGACAATGCGCTCAGGTAATACGTAGCTACCATTTAAATCAACTTGATAGATTGGAAAATTTTTGTTCGTTTTCTCCACCCACATTATATACGATATTCACATCCCTATGTTGCGTTTGAATCAAACACAACTTTCTCAACACGACGTGTCCGCTCCAACTTGGGGCTCAGGTCGTTTTCTCACACAACTAATGCGTTTTCCTGGCTTATTACTTTTTCCTGGATAGAAGCGATATCCAGCTGTGAATATTCCCTCCTTACATTTTTCGAATGATTCTTTCTGACTGGCTTTTGCCTTTTGGCACACTCCTAGATTGAACTTACACATAAGTTGCTGTCTCCCCAGAATGGTTCAAATTTCTGTCCCCTGGTAACGCATCCTCAGTCCATTTTTTGTCTGTGTAGACACATTTCACACACTTTTGTTTGGGTGGATGATGTGAGCCCATAGGATGAAGACTTCTTCCATTTGAAGCGCCAGTCTGTTACTTCAACTTATTCCACGCACGGAACGAAGAAGATTATCAATCCTTATCTGTGAAAGAACCGCACGCTGTCCTGCGGTCTCATCCCTACAAAATGCTACGATTCAGCTGGCCAATTGGATGATGCTTCTGCTCCACCGCATGTTTCGTTGTAATTGAGGTACCAATCCAGTCGGCGAACCTGTTGCTACGAAGCGTAATCGATTGCGGGCAATTCAGTTCTGTTTTTCTAGCACATTCTTGATCGCACAATCCTGCTCCTCCGTTATCTCTTATCTTCTGTTAATTTTTCCCGATTATTCTGTGCAATCTGGACACCCAGGCATGATAACTATTATCTCTCAGTACATTTTCTGACCAGTTGATAAACGCGAAATTCCATGCACATTGAACGTTCTGTAGTTAGCCGATCATACCTGTTCTGGCCTGTCTCGTGCACCTCAAGAATAAACTATGTATTTATTTATAAAAAGGAGCTCCTGTGCAGGAGACAACGGTTGGAAAAAGTGGACAGTTAGTATACTCTCATTTATGTTGCCTTTATCACTTGCGTGTGCACTTCTGAGAGCAACTGGCTTTACAAGGCGTTTTACACTGTCGCTTAGGTCGCTTGAATCCACCTTGGTTGTTGACGTAACAACTGCCACTATTAACGAATTTCGACTGGATGTAGGCTTGTGGCGGCGAAACAAGGCACCTGTCCTTTAGTTATACTAGAACACGGCAGTGCTGCACCGTCTATAACCTCGGCTTCTCCGTTAATCATTATTCGGCGCAAGGGAGGGATATTCGTGGATTGACGGATTTCAACCGTCCTTTCCCTTGATTAAAATCATGGAGCCTACTGGGAAAATCATCGTGTTACGATTATGATCACCTTTTCCCCATGCTGTGAACACGCGCCGTGCTTTGATGAGCAACAAATCAGAAATGTCTGACTGGTTTCAAATTCGGTACGGTTGCAAACCAGTATTGCTTTTGCATTCGTTCTTTCATTCGATTTAATCATCCTGTTTACTTTATATCCCTTCCATTGTTCTTAAATTTTCATCATTTTCGTAGACGTGAATCATGGCGGTTAGAACCGCCTCACTTTGCTGCACGATCTTGAATCGTCAAATGAACTGGACTGAACTATCCGGAACCATGTTTTTTATGCGCCGTAGCTCTTACGCTCTTGTATCTAAATTCTAGATCAATAACTTATTTTTTGCGCAGTTTTTTTGAATTAGCGTCCCTTTTTTAGAGTATCACGCTTGATGAGTCCCCCTGCTTATTGTCTCCACATTGCTTTACTATTCCACTCGGGTGTTTTCATCACCACTATTCAGTTAACGCAAATCCAACATTCCGCGGAACACCTTGTAAGCGTCATACAGCGCAATCGGCATCACCTCATCAAACGATTCGAACATCTCCGGTCAGTCAGCCCTATGGCCAGCGGGGTTGCGCTGCAAGAGTTGAAACGTAACTTGGCCGATCTGAACCACACAATGGAAAGTAACCTAGAGAAGTTGGAGTTGGTAAGTTCACATTCCGGACACACACGATCTCAAACGTTGTGTGTAATTTTTTCATGACTGGATGCCTCCTGTTTTACCCATCACTACCCTGTTGAATGTTAACGCTGTGTGACGTTTTGCGCAGCGCTTCGATTCATTTGTCTGCACAAGGCATTTCGGCAGTTTGTAAGCTATTCTATCTTATTGGTAATAGGCATCTGTCTCACCCTGTCGTTCCTCTAGGTCAGTGTTCGAAACAAGAGTGACAACGTGCCGTTGCCTTGCGGTTGAGCAATTTAATCGCTCTGACACTTTTGTAATGTCCTTCGGAAGTTTTGCCATGCCTGCGACACGAAAACCCGTCGACCGTTACGCTGTAATAACAATCTCTTTATCTTCTGTATACAGCATGATGGATAAGCGAAACATGTCGTTTCCGTTGTTTCCTCCCTTTACAAAGATTGATGGTGGTAGTGGTGGTGGTATCACTTTTACTAATGCTTATTACACATCTACAAGGCGCATCTTTCGCAACACAGCCACTGGTTATTCCTGTTGCGTGGACCAAGATGCTTTAAGGGATATCGCTTTATTTTCCTGCCTGTAATCTGTAACTCATAATAATATAATTATAGTACGTATATTTCTCTTGATGCGAGAAACTGTATTTGTAGCGGCTCTTACATGGGTGCGATGCATAGGGGGAATATTATGGTATGCGTCTCATGTGATTATCTTCTGGTGGATGGTTGAGACAAAATCCCAGTTTTGAAACCTTGGTGTTTACATGTTTTTGGGCCCCTCTTGGAACAGCTCATCGAGAGATTTTTCCCAGGTGAATATAGAGATTATGGTATCTAGATCAAAGTAATTGGAGTCTGCTTCTAAATGTTGTCACCTTGTCACATGTCCTGAATGTTATTAATAGTTTATTCCGCATATAGCTATATCTGACCAGGAAGAAATTGGAGCGAATGATCGTTTTGGCCTTTGGTAACTTCATTGTAAAATCTTTATTGCGGTACGCTCGAGTTGGGCTATGTTGTAATTCGAGTTTAGGCTGTTTGGAATAGGTCATTTTGTGAAGCGCGTTGAAAAGCACCAACAAATTGTGCTTCAGTCGCCGAATCCAAAGTGGTTCGAGCTGAAGTTCATTGCAGCGTACTTGATAACTCATAGTAGAGTATATACCAATCAGCTTTTAATTAAATGACCTCTGCAGGTGCTCCACAACAATTCTGTCACTCTTTCTCATATTGTCGCATATTATGCTGCAGTATTCGAGGATGGGGCGAGTGAGTAGCTCGAAAAGCTCAACTCTAGCATGTGTTGTTCGGATTTTGTTTGAGTGATTGGACATGGATTGTCTGGCGCGTGCTACTTGGTATTGGGCCTATTCAGAGAAATTGAAGCTAGACCAGTAACTAGTTCCAAAATCACGCATGGACAGCTGTGTAGGGATGCGTTCAATGTTTAGGGTGACAAATCCTTCGGGGATGGAGCAGCCATAAAACATGATGCTTGATTTCTCAGCCGAGAGGTTCATCACCCACGTATGGCACCATGACTCAAAGGAATGTAAGTCATCTTGTATGAGCAGTAGCGTTTCGTGAAACCCGTCACGACGAAGGTTATAGACAGTCTTGATATCGTTAGCAAATGGAAGAAGCTTACCATGTTTTTCAGCTGGGGTGATGTCATTTATGTAGTGCAGAAAGAGTGAAGGACCGAGTGCGCTCCTTTGAATGACTCCATTGGCGATGGAGCGTGGAGAAGAGCGCTAGTCACCTAAAGTGACTACCTGATGATGACCACTCAGGTATAACGATAGCCAACCTAGTAATGCGTCTCGGATCGCAAAGTTCTCCAGCTTTTCTTACAACCGCTTGTGAGGTACTTGGTCAAATGTTTAATGTACGTCAATGATCAGAATTACTACCGCATAACCGGAATTGACCGATTTTGAAATGTGGGTCAGTTGGCAGGTTGTGCACAAGTGCTTGCTACGAAAATCTTGCTGTAAGCTATTGATCAGGCCATTAGAATAGACGAGGTTCATCATCGCCTTTCTGACCAATTTATCAAATTGCCGAGCGATTATCGGAGTGTGCTGGATTTGTCGGTAGTTATCATTCATTTGTTTGGGACCTCCTTTGTGCCGCGAGGCATAATAAATGACGTTTTTCATTGGTCTGGAAAATGGATAGATTCCAGAGTGAACGTGCTCATCATGAGCAATGGTATATCAGGCCCTCCTAGTTTAATGGTGGTTGGTGAGAGGCTATCAGATCCCAGTTTGGGAGATGGCCTGATTGATTTGATAACTTGATGGATACCGTTGAGTGAGATATCGACTTTGCTTAAGAGGCTTGTTACTGTAAGCTCTGTGCGCACAGACGCAGAGTCAGCTTTGAGACTCATGGTAGTGGTAAAAAGTCACTCAATGCCTCACAGATTTCAGCTTTATCGTGGGGTAAGTGACCCTCACCACCAGCCATTTCAGTAATCAGGTGAGTGCGATCACTGGTTCTACGATCCAGTATTTTGAGGTCTCTAGCTTTTCGGCTGGTTCGTACTGCTATAGGTTCTTCAGCTTTTCGGCGTGTTAACTGCGCAAATTGTAACTCTGCGGTGAATATTATGTGAATATTAAGTCCAATACATTGGTGGACGTAGTTAGACTGGTGACCCATTGTGTCCAGCCTCCTGCTCTGATAGGAGAAAGAAAAGCGGTGTGCAAGCTAGACGTTGGGTGGGATGTCCGGCGTATTTTCGGTAACTTGCAATCACCGGCAATTATCTCCTGGCTGTGTGGTAACCTTGATGCGAAGTGAAATGCAGAAGTGATGTTGGCGATACTCAGGTTAGGCGCATTCGGTGGGTTGTATATGCATGCGACCAGTATGTAAACTAAGGCACCTGACCTGGAGCAGGCGAATGCTACTGTGATTATTGTGTCTCTGTCATTAGACACGAAACTCCCCTGTGAATTTCGGGTATTTTCAACCTGAAAGTAATGCTGTACTCGCTGTCAGAAATGCGAATCTGCTTTCTGTCTAAAATCTGGCACTTTTTCGTAGGTGTGATCACTCCATAGTCATGCTTTCTCGTTATCTGGTGTTAACAACCATCAAGACATGATCGCATGCATTGACAGGAATTTCTGTAGAAATTCGTGCTCACCACAAAGCATCAAGAAACTACGGGAACTGGTTTCCTCCACGGGCTTCTGTATTTTGGCACAGATATACCCACATACCTTACCAAAACGTTAAGTTGATTTTTCTTTCCGTATCTGGTGTTCATGAAAAATTCCTTGGATGTATACAGGCAGATTTTCTCTGTACCCCTGGCCTTCGCGCAAACGCAGGATAATAGCGTTCAAAGTGCACTCGTTTTGTATAATTGAATAACTTCGCTGACATGATATTTGTGCATAATCAATGCCGGCGAACAAATGTCATGGAAATGTTGGATGATCAAACTGCTAAGTAGGGCCGATATCCTTAAATATTCTTGAACCCGTTCAACAAACCTTCATTTAAGAAGGGCTTGTGCACAATCTGTTAATAATGCTAATAATAGTACGCATATTTCTTGAATATGTGGACAGGTCTTATTCCTTCGGGTTTACGCTGGATATGGGGTGGGTGGTGCAGCCCAAGCCACCCATGGTCCCTTTGTAGGCACAGGCGTCCTGTGGCTGTCCCCGTGAGTGTCACGGTAACAGGCAAATCCGGAAACGGATGCTGCTAACCACTTCTCGAATGTGCAAGTGGCTTTTCCTGTGATAGGAACAGCTCATTAGTACATTTATGATCATGTCCTTGCATGAGTGAGTTAGTTATTCCATAATGTCTGGTTTGTTGAAGCATTCTGATTTGTACGGTTTTTGTTTTGACTGCGTTTTGTTTAGCAGTTCCTTCCCGCTAACTATTTTCTGGGTCATTTGGTAATTTGCCCGATGAAAACATGGTCATTATGAAGTTCTGCTCTACTCAAGTTTATGTTTAATGCGGAATATTCTTGCATTTGCATAATATCTAATAGTGGCTAATTAACTATTCCACAGGACAGTACATCTGACTAGGAAGGAGTTGGATCGGATAGCTGTTCTGCATAGTTGTACAGTTAGCTCACAAGCCTCGTTGCGATCCTAATGTGGACAGATCATCATAACCGAAGTGGCTCGAGGTAAAGCGGTTGACAGCACTTCTGTTGATTCACGGTTAACAATTTAGTAAACAGGATTTCCAAAGCTTTTCTGCCACCCTTACACATTTTTCCGTAACTGATACACCAGTACTCAAGTGTGGGATATATATAGATATATATATATATATTGGGAATTTTGATTTTGGCATTGCCTGTACGAATTTTGTGGCATATGCTAGCCGTAGTCTGTCTGAATCACGTTGGTTGATAATTGTCCTGTTCGTGTTTCAAGATTGCACACAATTTTACAGACGCGTTCATTTCTTAGTTTAATTGGCGCTTCGTGTTTCTAACATTATGCTTGACTTGCTCACTGTGCGCTTCATTAACCACGTGTCACACTAGTTCTCAAGTGAATGGATGTCCTTTTTGAATGAGCAACGTTGTGGTCCAGAGTTCGTCTAACCGAAATTTATAAACAATGTTAATGGCGTCAGCAAAAAAACGATGTGCCATGTATGATGGACATGTTGATGTTTATATAACAACAACGAAACTGCGTGTTAGCCTGAATAACAACCGTGAAGCCTGGTGATCTCATCGTGTCTCGGAGATGGAAACAGCCTCTACGGCTCGTAATCATCGTAAGTTATTCCGTCTGATATGGGAAACAAGCTGCAGGAGACCTGGTGTTAGCGAAACCATACGCGACGAGAGTGGGTAGCTGGTCCACAGCTTGTCAAAACGCTTGGAGCGTTGAGTCGAACACTTTGCAAAGCAATTCAACCAACCTGTTATTGCTTTCTTTTTCGCGCATTGAGCGCCCTTCTCCCTGGGCCGTCTCCTTAGATCCGCCCTTACTCGCA